CAAAGTATAATTGAGGGTGAAACACCTCAGTATGGTGTTATTATGTGTAAGACAACTTATTACGATTGTGTATGTGTTTGAAACATGTTACATGTAGCATATGTTGAATGTTTGGAGCACGTCATCAAGATGTTAATTTGATGTCTTTAATGGGTGTAAAATACGTATTCTTGCCGATAACGTATGTTATGTATTCTAGTTCTATGAGTGCAACAAGCTGCATGCTATTAACAGTTCGGTAAAGGAAAAATCCTGTCCATATTCGGAGGTTTCGAAGAGTGAAAGAGTTGAACACGATGTATGAAAAATAATAAACTTTAAAAGGAAAGATTCTACTCTGCCGTGATGTCTGTGGTTAGGGGTTTTGAAACACCTCATCCTGTTTCGTGAATCCGGTAAATACGTTACTTAAACAGCATTTAATTGTTTAGGTTTGTTCCATACGTCTATGATATTTTCAGTATGGGAGTAAAAGACTATGTCCGGAAATCATCAGTCCACTTCCATGACATTGGTATAGGTGGAGAGGGTAACGAAAACTTAGACGCGCGGAGGGACGTATACGTGCAAAAACAACAAACGTGGATGGTGATGACGCTTAAGACTATCATGGCGTCTTTAGGACACGCCAATGTAAGTAAAGATTTGATTAAGTTCACGTGAAACATCATTAAATATAACAATATCTCTAAATCATGTCTTGAAACTGCCTTTTCATCGTAGCAATAAATGAATGGTATGGACAACTTTACTTGATGTATCAGTTATTTTGTTTTGTCAACATTAAGTATGTGGATGCGTTTGGTTAATGTCGGAAACAATAAAAATAAATGATGTGATAAAAAAAAGAAATGAAATAATATAAACTAATTTGAACTTAAAAATCAATATAAAATTGGCATACCAATGGCGTTTACTATAAATTGTATATTTAATCGTGGTATCTTACCCAGAGCAAGTATCTAAATGGCATATGGGATCAAATTATTTGGTACTTCCAATGTAAGCTTGTCTTGTTTACACCTTTTAAACTGTTAACTGTTTCTGAAGATGTTCCTTACTATCTGTTTGTATGTTAGCGGGATCTAGACGTGTTGAAGATTGACATAGAGGGCCACGAGTGGAAAGTGATCGAATACCTACTAGACAGCGGACTGCTGCCCAGAATCAAACAGTTACTTTTGGAATATCATATCTTTAAAGATTGGCCTCAAAGATCGGAAAATCCCAAAAATTTATATTTGTACAGGAAAATGATTCAAGCTGGATTTAAGAAATTCTCTTCGAAGTTGCATACATTACAACATAATCCATCTTGGGTGCATCTTCAGGCAGATACCTTCTATGTTAACACCCTTTATGACCCGAGCGAGAGACATTGATGCTTTTCCTAGTTTGATTCCGGATCAAACGTTGTAATGTGGCCGAAGTTTTATTAATGGAATAAAGTGATTCCCTACCGATAATTTGTGTTATTATCTATATACTACTTTATACCACCAATTTATTAAGCAGATCATTTATATGTATGAGGTACAGACATGTTGATATAACTCCACCTTGCCGTACCGACCTATTCACCTTGATCCATCGTGATTGAACACTGTTATGAACAACAACACTGTAGATTCCTTGGTACGAATTACACAACATTCTAAACAAGCTTCCAGTTACTCCAAGTTCATACAACTTGTGGACTATGCCTTTGTGCTTAACAGTATGAAACGTATCTAGGAGCGCAACATACACACTACTATTCTGTTCTAAATTTCATCAATACATTCATGGAGGTTAACCGATGCCGTTGTGCAGGTCTTTCCTTTCTGAAATCGTTGTTGTTGTTTGTTTGGAAAGTCTGTAGTTGTTCGGATCGTTCTTCTTTTTATGTCCACCTTTGTATATCGGAACTAAAATTCCTCTTTTCCAGATATTTGGTACTTTCCCAGATATTCGGATACAGTTGAACAGTTTGGTTATTTTATCAATAAATAATTTCCCGCCATATCTAATATGGTGATTTATTTCGTTTTAGCTGCCGTATACACCCGTTAATCTTATTAAATGTAAATGACAAGTCCAGAGATTGTCGACATACGAAAATGGTAGACTACAATCATTCAACAATACCCATAGGACCCTCTTAACTGCGTTCCCGAGGGTTCTCTGTACATAAATCCGACGCTTTGTTTTTCCGTTTTCGTATCGTCCGCCAGAACAGTCTTATGTCTAATTCAGCAGAATCGTCTAACACGTTGCTAACAGTGTCCTTATGCGTTTTAAAGGCTTCTACATGCATATTTCTGAATACATGTTTATCATCCTTATAGTCTTTATATGTTTTGTGTTGCATCAATCGCGGTCTGTTTTCATTTATACATAATCTTCTTTTGTATAAAGCCATATTATGTGCATTTTCGATATCCGATGTCCACTACGGCTTGAGATATTCTTGAACTGTCTCTTTGGAATTGTTTCCTCGGACGCTAACGACATACACAAATATCATTATTCATATAACGCATATACACCGAGCTGTGTCCTCATGTCCAATCGTTTTTCTGACAAGGCTAACTGATACGCGATCAAATGTCCTACACCTACTTTATTTCATAATGTATGATTTCTGACGTCACTGTACCCCATTTGGTACAAAATTTAATAAAATGGGTCTTAAAGCCTCGCGAGTCGGTTCCGTGAATTGTGCTGTTTTGACGTCACGATATAAACATAAACAGTTATTTCAACGTGAATTTTGTAGTATGCGGCGATCCAGATTGCATTACAGACTACATCGAAATGGGTGAGTTGGCTGAAAACGTAAACAGTGTGCCCTCTCGCCATTCGACAACCTTCTTTAATTACCTTTTTACATATTTTCCGCCCCTATGGTCATTTCAAAGGGTTCTTCGTATGCCTTAAATTCTTCATTTGTCTCGTTACATCGAAAGCAACTGTACAAAATGGAGAAGTATCCCTTTTTGTAGGTGAACACATTAAGGTAATAAGATTGTGTCGCCATTTCTCAGTAAAATTGTTTCAAATTTTTGGGTTATATTGCTTTGAAATTTTCTGCCACAAAAAAATATAGGTTGTCATAATTTTAAGCAGTTAAAATGGAAATTTATGTAAAAAGGAGTGACTTTTGAAAAAAA